TAAGCTTTGAGTTTTAATGAAGTCCAGCTCATCACTGATTCCCCCCCTCCCCCGTGGATTCCATCTTGTTTGTTTTTTCTAAAAAGTCACCCAAATAATTTAGATTTTCTTCCATGTTACCTTCCAGGAATCTTACTCAGGATTTATTCACTTACTCATTGTGAAACAGGCCCTCACGATGCACCCTTGGTTGGTTTGTAACTTTCTGTGTGGACCAAGCTGGCGCTGAACTCAATCACAGCGACCTCCCTGCTTCTGCCTCCTGAGTGCTGGGATTGAAGACGTGTGTCATCAAGCCTGGCTACATTTGACATTGTTAGTCTTTACTTTGTAATAGAATTGAATTGCTGTGTTAAAAATAAAATGTTGTCTTTTCCTCTTCCACCATGTAGTCTTATCACTCACTTACCAGGCAGAATCCTAAGACATGCCTGCGTCTACAGATGAGAAGGGCCCAGCTGAGTCCGAGTGCCTGGACTTTTCACTGTGGCCTCTATAGTTGCCTGCTGTGAACTCCTAAGCCGCTATCTTGTGAAGTTGGTCTTTAGGTTTCCTGACAAGAGGAGCTCTATATAAATGATGCTCTTTGTGGCAACAATCCCCACAAAGTTTTCAGACCATGCAAAGCTTGGGGAAACACTTAGATGTTACCTGGATATTTCTGGATTGGTAAACTCAATCCAGCCTTCTTGTCTCATTTTATTTTGTTTAAGACAGGATCTCACTCTGTAGCCTGGAATTTCCTGGTGTGTGTTGTGTAGCTCAGGCTGACCTTGAACTCACAGTCTTCCTTTCTCAGCCTCTGGGATTGTATATGTGAGCCACCAGTGCCTGGCTTGATGTCACTGTCTCTGGAGAGATTTTTGGCACCTGGAACTGGACCTTCTCCCTTGAACTTCAAGATAGTGCTTCAGTTCTGAGCCTGTGTTGTGATGGCCACACAAGAATCGTCCTCCCTGCCCACTCTTACGAACACATACATTTCTTCCGGCTCTGGTCTTTACTTTCTCAAACAGGTGGAATTCTGATCTTTCTTAAGAAATTTAAAAAAGACAGAGAGGCAAGCCCCAGGACCTGGGGAGGGTGCAGGTGGTTTATGACATGCTTTGCTGGATCTAATCTCTCCAAAAACAAGTGGAGGAATTTATATTCTGTTAGTTAATACTATTTTATGAGCATCTTTATAAACCTTAATAAATGATTGCAGGTGCACACAGCTGTAATGAGGGGAAGAAAGAACCCATTCAGCCTCTTATATAGAGAAGAGAATGTTAAAGCACGTTGGGATTTTACTCCAGGTTGGAGTTGTTTCTCTGTGCGCATTCTTGCTGGAGATGTAGAATTTCTAATTTCACACAGACATCTGGATCAAGGGATGGATGACACGGAAGAAAGTAATTAAAGGATGTGATATGTTTCCACTCTGGAGACAAATCATTTTTTTCATCTCTTAAAAAAAAACTTAACTTTTGGAGATTTCATTTTTAAAATTGACTTTGTATTTTATAAGCAGTGTTTAAGTTCATTGGTGATAAATATGCATGTTTGTGGAATAAAATCCCATTTTTTACATAATGCCTTAATGGAAATGGCAGTTTTATGAAATGAAAGTGACTAGGAAAAATCTGAATGATGCTCATAAGCCTTCACATCATTTTTATTGAGGTTTTTGTGTGTTCTAATTCATTAGTACAGGGGAAAGGAGAACACTAACATGGTTTATCTCCTGTAATTACTCAAATCGAATTTATTTTCAATAAAATTCTTAGAGTAAATTGCCCAGAGTGGGACGAGGAGGATTGGCCTGTTTTTACAAAATGCCTTGATTTTTACCCATGAGACTTTGCTGTTCTACCAGTGATGTCTGCGCTGCATATATTTTCCAGCATGGCTCCCTCCAGAGTTTTACAAATTAGTGCCCAGACCCAAGGCAGGGTGCTAAGGGAGAAATACAGCTTATTTTATCCCACTCTCTGTTACTAATATTGCTTGTCTTTTAATAATTTAGATCATCTTTTATGTGATTCATGTAAATTGAAACACCATTTAGATTGCCACATAATAGGCCGACCTGGGGAAATTGCTACAGTGTTGTGCTCAGTGGAATCTAGCTTATGTTTATAGAGTTGGTGAGGTCTACAGCTGGGCTCCCCACCCCAGCTTTCTGAGAAGCAGAAGGGGAGACACTAGAAACTGGGGTGGGCATAGTAAGTATTGTGCATGCCCCAGGGTGAGATGTCTGTATGCTGTGGTAGATGGTTTATGTATCTGATCTGACCATGTGTCAATGCTTGAGGCAAATCTCTTTAGAAAGCTTTGGGTTATGCTCAGACTGTCATTCTGTATGTTCGTGTTCTCTCTCTCTCTCTCTGACAGGGCTCATCTTTGTATCCCAGATTGGCTTAGAACTTTCCATGTACCAAAAGCTAACCTTCAACTTCTGATCCTCCTGCCTCCATCTTGGCAAATGCTAGGTTAACAGGCATGACCCACTATGCCTGGCCCTTTCCCCATAGGCCTATTGATGCTAAAAATGGCCCCTTTCAACGGTGGCTCTTCCATCCCATTCCTATACCCCTGGCTACCTGAACACCTGCACTTGTAGAGTAAGGTTTCATGTATTTTTTGAAATACATGGGTTGTGAGTTGTACCCATACAGGCTTGTAGGGCTTACCACTTTCTCTGGCCCTAGAAAATCAGAGCTGTTTTTAGCTCTCCTTTTTATAGACTGTGCTTACTGAAGTGATCCCCACCTTAAGTAAAGGGGGATCAGCCTGTGTGCAGAGGACAGTGGACTAGGGTAAAATTCCAGAGAGCTGCTAGCCCGTAAGCCCCTGGACAGTCTCAGCACCAAGTGTCTCATTTCTTTCTGCAGGCCAAAACTTGTCACCTTGTCAGCATCCAGCTGTCTCTTTCTGTGGCTAAAAAGCCTTTGGGCCACAGGTTAACTTTTCCATGCTTTCCCAGTGGGGGAGGGGGCGGTTTACAGTGGAGTCAGTTCTGGATATAGCTACATTCCAGATCCTTCAGGAAGTCCTCTCTCCAACTTCAGCTTGGTTCCTAGGGGATCAGAATCAGGGCTTTGTCTGGTAGGCAACTGGAGAAGTTCTCTTCAGGTGTTTAGGTCCCCAAGATGCTGTCCCAGAAGTAAGAAGAGCTTTTAGGTTAAACTATCCTCAAACAATAGGTGATGCAGTCATCTTGTTGCATGTACTGTCATGCATGCATACACTCCTTCATCCCCCGGTAGAGCCACAGGGTCAGTGGGGGAGGGGCTAATAGAACAGCAGGTACTACCACTGAGTTGGCACCTACCCCAGGATCCTGTGTGGAGGTGGCACTGGGCTTCCAACTCATAGTTACTGTGTGGTTGGGGAAGATGAAAAGGGGCCTGAAGTTGTGTGAGTGTGGCTGGTGCAAGCTGTGTAAAGGGAGCCGAGTAGCTGTGTCAGGAGGTTGTGTTTTGCACAGTGAGATTGCAGACTGTTTCTCTGGGTGTCTTACAGATAAGATTGTGCATTAGCAGATGTGAAAACTATCCTATGCTTAGATTAGCCCCTAATGTCCACATCTATCTCATTTGGACAGATCAGTGCTTTCTTGTAGCTGCACTGGCGGCAGTGTGCTAGATTTTGACTCAAGCCCCTTCCTTCAACCACCATTTGTGCTTAAGCTAAGCTTTTATTCAGTTGATCCTTCATACTTCGAGTACCTCAGAGGAGGCCAGCCGGAGTACCCATTTTTCTGGAAATGACCTGTGAGTAGTTTTTGTCTTGGTGCTTGTGTCTTGAGACCTTTACTGAGTCTGGACACAGTGCTGGGGACTGAGATGGACAAAGGATAGCCCTGCTTCATCAGCTGAGACTCACTGCGAGCATTTCAGAGCACACCTTCTAGTGTCTATTGGGTCTTCTGATATGTGACAGGTGAGCTGGTAGATATCTTCGTAACCACGGAAACACATTTCCCTTCCCTGCTTCTGTAACCGTGAAAGGTGGAACTGAAAAGCCTGCCTTAGGAAACAATGATGTGGCACTCATGTTGAAAATAGGGAAACCTGAAGTGGATCTAGGATGGGCATGTGGCTCAGAGGCTGGGTACACGCACACAGACAGGTCCCTGGGTTTTCTCCATAGCAACACACACAGACGTGAACACACACATGCACACACACATGACAAGAAAAAAAGGTCTGGCAGTTCCCCTCTTCCCAGCTGACACCCCCATAAGCCTTGAGATCAGGTGTCCACTTCGTTGGTTGTAGGTTAGCCAATGAGAAGAAGTTCTGCAGGTATGTGCCCTGTACAGTGCTACTAAGTCTAGATGGTTGCACAAGCTCCATATCAATGTGGTTGATATTAGTAACCTCAGGCACAGAGGAAAGTTTATTCACTTCTCTTTATACATCTTTCATTGTTTGGTTTGCTCTAAGAAGCATGTTTTACTTTTTTAATTAAAAAAATCTAATAAAGTAGGAAATGAATAAGTAATAGTAATAAACAGTAGCCTAGGGCCACAGAGCATTGCTCCAGGCTTCTCTGGAGCCTCAGTGCTTGGAGCTGCTAGCAGGCTCTGAACGAGGCTTGCATCCTTACAGACACACGGTTAGGGGTTTTACTGTCTACACCATCCTACCCTCCCAGAGTCCACCTGCTGCCTGCCACTCTGACACACTTTGCTCTTAATAGTCACTGGGGACCCATGCCTGATCCTTCATACTGTTTTTGCCAGATCCCATTGGGGGTCTGTGGAAGTGAATATTGACCACAACTAATTATTGTTCTATTTAGACTGCCCGGTTCTAGATCTTTTCACCATTCACATAGAACTCCTTTCTTCCTGAAGCTACATTCTTGGCTATAAGACAGCAGTCATGGCATAGTGTGAGGGAGATCTCAGCTCCTCCTGTCCCCATGTCTGTATCTCTTCTACCAAGCCTCGGTCTGTCTCCTATACTTTCCTCACAGGACCCCAACCAGTTGTCTGTCTCTCCGCATAGGTCCCTTCACTGACGTCGTCACCACCAACCTAAAGCTTGGCAACCCAACAGACCGAAATGTATGTTTTAAAGTGAAGACCACAGCACCACGCAGGTACTGCGTGCGACCCAACAGTGGGGTCATTGACGCCGGGGCCTCTCTCAATGTGTCTGGTAAGTCCTGTGTCTGGAGGTCATGGGTGGGTTCTGAGGCCCCAGAGCCATAGGGCCTTGTCAGAATGGGTATGTTCAGGGTAGTAAAGACATGTACAGACTTCTCTCCACCTTTCCCATCCCCCAGTCCGGGTAAAGAGCTTAGTGCCTCATCACCTTTAGCTCTCCATAATTCATGTCTCTTTGTCTTGATGCTCACAGTCTCTATACCTTAGTAGCCAGAGCAAAATTAAAGTGGTGACTTTAGATTTGACTGTAGAACAGGTGCCTCCGTTCTTTTGGAATTAAATCTGCACCTTGACAAGTAGGAAGGGGCTGAAGAAACAGTTTTACTTTGTAGGAGAATGCTAGATAGAGTTATTTTCTTTAAGCTAACTGATTTCTGACGTTGCTTATGTCATCTGGTGGTTGTAGGTGCACTTGGCGCTTTGAAAGCTGAGCAGGTGGGGCTGCAGAGATGCACAGCAAGGCTGTGGGTCCTGTGTGTTCTGAAGCCCCCTTCTCCATGACACACGTGTATTTTCCAAAGCCCAGCTTCTCAAAAGAGGCTGATAAAGTACCCAGATTGAGAATTGGATTTCAGAATTAAGGAGGTATGAGTGATATGTTAGAGTTTAAACGTATTTAGAAACTGGTGATCTTGCAGCTTATTAGAACTCATGGTGCTCAGAGTAGCTGTGGGGGAGTATGTGTCCTTTAGACACCAGTGACTCAGTGTCCCCAGCTTCAGCATAGTTAGAGGCCACTTCTCATTTGAAGTGAGTGCCTGTCTGGCTTTTTCCATGATAGATTTTGATTGTGATACATTTGGCTATTCATTTGACACCTGAAAGAAAATGATTCACCTCTTTGGAAAGATACAAGGTGTTTCATTATCTCAGACTCTGATTCCTCGCCTCCGTTGGTGTCTCTCATTATGGAGCACCCTCCCCAGCTCCCCCTGTGTGCTCCTCTCTGAGTCTGCAAGGCCTGGTCTGGACTCTTGAGTCAGATTTTTAGTCAGGAGCAGTTAGCTGGTAGCCAGCAGCGATAGAAGGGTTTCTACTGCTAGAGCCCACACACCCTCATCGTTTGTTTTGCACTGTCCAGGGTGCATTGTCATATATATTCTGTGTCCATCTTGAGTCATGGATCTGCTGCGTGACAGAGCCAGTGCTCTGTGACTGGCGTGCTGGAAGAAGGGAGTGGTCAGGGTGTGATTTCCCACCGCCTTGTGTTTCTTAAATTTTTGCCGAGATTAAGGCAGCTGGATTCTTCTGTCCTGTTCCCCTTTGGTGTGATGCCAGAGGGTCTTGTGTTGAGCTCTTTAAGCCCTGCTCTTTTCTTTAAGCCCCATCCCTCAAATTCCCTATCATTAACACATTTCAGAAAATTTGAGTTTATCAGCAGATGAAAATCACCAATTTTCAAAGGAAACAAGCATCTTGGTTTTCTGAACAAAATAATCTCCACAGGTGGTTGTGTAGTGTAGGCGTGTCTTCAAAATTCTAGATGATTATGTGACTTCTGTATTCTCGTGTGTATGTTTGTGTGGCTGTCCTGATTTCGTGAGTGTCCATGTGTGTGTGTACGTGTGTGCCTGTGTGTACATGTCTGTGTGTGTGTGTGTCTGAGAGTGTGCGTGTACATGTGCATGTGTGTGTCTTTCTCCTCTGTCAGGAATGTTCTGAGTGATCAGTGGCTCCTTGGCAAAGGCAGCTTTTTTGTTGTGTCTTCCCTCTGCAGCTCAGAAAATAAGGAGCCAGCATGGATGTGCTCTGTCCCTGTCACGTGCTCTCTGTCACTCGTCAGTCAGCTTGGGTTAGAGGCAGATGTTTCTCCTATGGTATATGCTGCTGCCTTATACCAGGTTAGAGGGGTTGCCCAAGGAAGACTCTGAGATGGAATGTACCACGGGGGGAAGAGACAGGACAAACAGTTGAATTGAGAAACACATTTGCAGCTTTCCCCTTCCGAGGCAGGATGGCACATGGGAAAAGTCTCTGTGAAGTCCCTGTCTGTGGGTGCTGGTCTAGGAGGGGCCAGGAGCGTGGCACAGCCTATTCAGCCATAGGGACCTGGAGTCTAGATGTCACATTTTAGACGTGCACATCTTGGGTTAGGACTTGGTGTTCTAGTCCAGGCCTGGTTCCTCAAGGAGTGCAGGTATTAGGTGAGTCGGAGTCCCTGGAGAAGGCAGGTACACAGGTAGGACTCTGTCCTCACTGTGCTCAAATCCTCTTGTTGCTTCTCACTGTCCATAGATGATGAGCTTTGAGGTTAGGAAAATTGAGTGAGAAGCCAGGTCTGTCCCTGAGCCTGTTGGCCACCTGTGCACATACTAGTGTTGCCATAGTAAATAAACAGGCCAGCCAGACTCCAGTGGAGACAAGTTGTGTACTGTTTTCATTACCTTAAAAAAGCAAAGGAATTCTATGCATTTTTACAAATGTGTGGCCCTCATGAATTCCTACAGAGCACACATGTTTCTGAGGAAATTTTTGTGTGTGTGTGTAGTTTACAAAATAGTGACCATCAAATGAACTTAAAATCTTATCAGTATGGTTTTGCTTATCACCCAAAGTGTCACAGAGTACCTGGAAAGGAAAGGACTAGTATGTCCTTTCATTTCTGAAGATTCTTGGGAGGTGCTATTAGACGAGGCTATAAATCATCACTGTAAGGGAGTGAGAGGAGGAGGGTAAAGTGTGAGTGTTAGAGGGTGCTGGGAGTGGTGGGGATAGGGTAGGGCTGGGCTTTAAAGGCTTGTATCTTGAATCTTGGCTTTGACAGGAATAGGCAGTGACCTCCAGCCACGCCCTGTGGTGCTGTTTGCCTTTCCAAAGAACCTGACATTCAGGGGGCCTTACATCATGCTTCAAAATCTCAGGCTCTGACCTATCGTGCTGTTTCCTGCAGAACACAACATATCTGTGTGCATGGAGTTCCTTCCTTTACCCTAGGCAGTCCAGCCACAGCTGGACAGAGGCATAGCCTAAGGGTTTTGTGCCACTGAAGTGTGACCTGTAGACATTTCCAAGTAGAGGTGCTCCGGGCCTTCCCTTGTCGTTATCCTCTGGCTCTTTTGTCTCTAAACTGTCTGTTCCATGTAAGATACAGGGCAGCTGGCGGTTGTTCCAGGGTGCCAGGGTTCGGGCCCATGCTCCCAGTGAGCACCAGCCTTCCAAACTGGGCCTGCATGTGGGATATGCAACTTGGTGGCACAGACACATGGAGATGAGCCTGCAGGAGGGAAGTTGAGCTCCCAGAGGTTGCTGACTCAGGGAGGGAAGGAGCTGCTTTCATAGCTTGGGGGGATGGTATTCTAATTTTACAGAATTAAGTATCTTTCAAACTGAATGGTAGGAAAATGTTTTTAAGGTATGTAATTTCTGAAGATGTCTTTGTGGAATGCTGTTAATAGTGGCGGATCTTGTTTTTAATGCTGTGGTTTAGTAATGAGGGACTTTCCATTAATATTCCAAACCATGTTTGCCGGCACGTTCAGCAGGTGAAGTGGTAGAATTATGGGCCCATCAAAAATACTTAGGCTTCCTGTAATATGACATTAAGTTTAGTATTTGTATAACCTCTGTGAATTCTAATCCCACAAAGTGGTGAGCACTTTCACTCCCAGTTCAGCTTTGCACATTGCCTGTCTGTGCCAAGTACATTATACATGCAGAGTATCCATAGGGTGTGGGCGGAGTCATTGAAGACACCAGTTTTTACATAATCACTTTACTCATTGTGCCCTGGGATTGAAGATGGTTTAAGGCCAAACGTAGGTCTCCCAGTATCTGAATCTCTATTTTAAACTGGAATGCCATGGGGGCTTTGCCATCAACACCCTTCCTTGGATCCAATCCTTGCTTTGGGAAGCTCTGATAGGTGCAGCCTTTTAACTGGATGGTGTCCATGAGCCGTCCTCGCTGCTCCTGATAAGAGCAGCCTGCACTGCTGCTTAAGATAAATCTCTAATCTTTTCACCAGATTAGATTATGGTTTAAAATATTTTACCAGCAGAAACTCATCTTAATTGTGCTACAGCCTTTCAGAGCTTGCTGTAGGCCACAGGTTTCTTAGGAAGATTGTACCCTGTTTTTATGAATGTGACCAAGGGGCAGGATCCAGAAGACTGGTCAAGAGCTACTTAGCTGAAAGGTACTTTTTGGCTCCCAAGGTGAGCCAGAAATACATTGATGGTGGTGTAGGGTGCACAGTTATACTGGGAGTCCCAAAGAGAGGCCAGGCTGTGTTCTGCTGTTAGTTACAGTAGGAAATCATATTAAGAAGGCCTTCATAATTAAGGGTGAGTGAACCTGAGTGTTTGGCCCATACAGCCTGTTGCGTTCTCCCTTCTGTTGGTCCTGAAGAGTGAGTGAGGTGTGCCCTGTGGCCTCGGCATAAACAAATGGAGCAGACTACCAAGTGCTTGCTACCCGAGCCCAGCACTGGAGCCAGAGAGGCCCCCAGAGGACATAGAGACGGGTTGGCAATGTTCTTATAACCAGGTGGAATTAATTATTTATCTGCTCGGCATTAGTAGTGGAGGCCCAAGAAAGTAGTTACAGTGGCCTCGGAAGGAAATACTGACATTACTTGTGGTGAGGGCTGTGGATCAACTGCAATGCCCACTCCTTTGTTTCAGGCTAGCAGTCCCTCATTTGCAGCCATGCTGACCATCCTGAGCTGGTAAGAAGAAGCTTGTCTAAAAAGAGCAGTGGTGCAACATTGCTGCAAACGCAGTTTGGGTAGATGGTGGTCTTCCGACATGTGAACTGTGAGAGAAGGAAGCAACCAGCAGGGAGGAATGGGAAGAAGAGTGAAGCGGCCACTGGGGAGAGAGCAGAGAGGAGAGGCTGCCGGATCAGGGTGTAAGCTGTAGTGTGCTTTGAAGTTAGGAAGGGAGAGGGTGAATACTGCCAGCCAGTGGAAACATATGCAGATGAGTATCTTAGGAAGTTCCACAGACACCCATTTTAACTAGGGAAAGCATAGTGGCAGAAAGGTGCACATGGGGCCTGTAGACAGCAGCTACAGTGAGGGAGCTTCCTACAGCAGGAACAGGCATGGCACCTTCCAGCCAAGCCTACTGCTTTCAGAAAAGAGTGCAGCCCTGTTCTCCAGGATCAGGTTTTCAGTGGGACCCCCATCCAGCAGACTCTGTTTAGTTGGCTCCTTTGCAATTCTGGTACATGCTGAGGCTCTTCTCTTCTGGTACATGGCTGCTGTCTTCTCTTCTAAGGGCATGCTGGGATGTGAGTAATAGTGAGGAGTATCACAGGAATGAGGGTAGGTTTTAGGGATGATGGAGAATGTCACTAGGTGTAGGAGACAGGGCTTGATGTACCCTTGCTGATTCAGAAACAGGTCTGTTGGCCTGGAAAGACCAGGGGTGTAAGGGACTGAGCTGAGTGTCTTCTGCTTGGGCTGCTGTTATAGGAAGTGCTATGGGGGCTTGTAGGGTGTCTTCCTGGTCTGGAAGGGCTGCATGGGCTAATTTTGGTGGAAATGAAATGGGGAGAGCCCCTGGTTGGGGAAAAGTGAGTGAGAGTTGGTTGTGCCTTGTCGAACATGCAGACGCTTCCAGGTCAGATTCTGACACTAGAGCAGACCTTCCTTATTTACCCTGTCCCACTGTGGCGCACATCAAAATAGTCTGTAGCCATCCAGCTCCCCAGAAGCAGCTTTCACGCTGCATTTGATCCGGTTGTCTTTTTCTAAGCCAGTGTGTATTTTAAGCTGCCTGGCTTCTTCTCTTTTGAAGGAGGTCTGGCCTGCTCAGTCCCGTGCCTCATGACCCTAAAGGTTTTTCACAAGGGTCCCACTTCCATGTCTAGTGCAGTGGGCTGTGTGTCCTGAGCACAGTGTGGGTGAGGGCGTGACTGGACGTAGGTCGTCTCCTGGTAACAAGCCTCTTTTAATGTTCTGTCAGCCGATGCATTCTGAGGGAGGATGGTTCACTTAGGGTTTTTATCATCCGTGTCTCTGGTATTTAAATGAAATAAGTTAAGTTAATGGGAAGCTCTTTTATAGCCTGTCATGGAAAAAAGTACATAATTTGTGCCACAATTTGCAACGAACTAGCGCTGACCAACATTTATTCCATCATGTTCTCATAAAGTCTCAGCTGAAACTGGGTTTGACGTGAGATGGTGGCAGCTGAGGAACAGAAACCTGAAGGTCTGTGTGAAGCGGGGTGTGGGTCCTGAGGTATATCAAGGGTCTGTAGAATGTCATACACAGAAAGGACAGCCAGTGGGAGGCAGGCAGCTGCTTCTCTGCTTGTTTCTGCAGCAGAGGAGGGACAAGTCCCCACCTTATTCCCAGGGCTTTCCAGAAGAGCACTCCAAAGACCCTACTTCCCATTCCTGGTCAGGGTTCTCCAGTCAGCCTTGAACAGGGCTGTGAACATGTGTATTGACTCAGAAGATATAACCGGCAACCACTAGCCCTTGCTCTGTGTGCCTTGCCATCAGATGGTTCTCCACTGTGAGTCTAGTGATGGCTTTTGGCAAAGCTGCAGAGGGCCTTCAAATGTATGCTTGCTCAGAGCAGCAAAGCACCTCGGGGCCCTCCACCCTCTATCTACAGTACTGGCTTCAAGCCTGCTCCTGTGGCTCTGGCATGGCCTTAGTTAACTCTTTTCTCTTTAGATCATCTCAAGAAGGGCTCCCTATAGGCACTAGTCAGATTGATTCCCTCTGGAAAGGGCCAGGAAGGCAGTGTTAGTCTCTGAACTTCTTGTGCTACTGACAGTTGAAGATCCCAAAGAGTGTGGTCTTTGTGAGCTATAGTGATATTTAGTATATTAGAAATTTTAAAATGACTAATTTCTTTAAAAATTAAAATCCATCAATTATATGTTAGTGATAATATTTATTATGAAAGTAGCTATTCTCAAGAAATTAAAAGGCTGGCATTGTTGACAGCTTCTGCAAATTTGACATCTTAATAGACTAATTCTCATGTCCGCTTCATTCGGCGTGTTGTGCTGCTGTCTTGGTGGGTGTGTTACCCAGGCAGGAAGTTAATAGCATCTTTAGACAGCTCTGTGGCAGACAAGTAGCATTTTGTTGTTGTTGTTTTGTTTTGCTTCTTTTTTTTTTCAGTGCTAGGGTTGACCTCGGCTTTGTACAGGCCACGTAGACCAGGCTGGCCTCAAATTGAGATCCACCTGCTTCTGCCTCCAGAGTGCTGGGATTAAAGGTATGGGCCATCACCTACAGGCAGATGGACACATAGAGTGGGAATGTGACTCTGAGTCCGAGCCAGGCTGGAGCCCCTCATAGCCTTTAGCTTCCCATCTAAGAGGTAGAAGCCTTTTATGGGTCAGGCTGTGGAGGGCAGGAATGGCATCCTTTGATGCGTTGAGAGCAGGAACTATGAAACAAACCTTTGGATTTGAGTGTCTTTGTGAAATAAGGAAAACTAAAAAACAGACCACAGAATAATAGCCTTCTCCCTCCCTCCAGCAGTACATGCCTCTTAGGAATCCAGAGGGGTAACAATAGTGCTGAAAAGCAGAGCCCAGTTTCTGGCCCATGGAGACACTAGGCCCGCACTGGCTCTCTGAAGCTTCCTCTGCTCATGGATTTAGGTTTCAGGGAAGGACACTAGGGGCGAGGCTCATTAAAGCAGTGCAGTGAAGAGTGTGTTGCCAAGCAGCCTTCATGTAACAGGGTTTGGCCTGGGTCGTCTGGGAAACTGGTCCAAGGAAGCGAATCAGACTAGAAGACCCCCTCAGTATGGGGGGTGGGGGGTGACCCTGGATGGGGGAGGGGCAGGAGTTGTGTTTTTTGCTGTGGGAAATCCAGCTTATAAGCTGTCTCCAGAATTCTATTGGCAAAATCATATTTCAAGCCTTACCTTGATGAGCTGCGTGGGAAATGGGGCGGAGAGAAGCGAAAAACCATGCTGAAACGATTTGAGTTATTCTGTCTTTCTTCTCAAAAAGATCATTTGGCAATGTTTTCTTGAGAAAAATAGGCCTTTGGTGTTTCTCCCAGTTTATGTCTTCAGTAAGAACTATAAGACAGCTTAGGGAAGCTTTGTAGGAGCATGAGTAGTGTTATCAGAAGTCAGGTACCCAGGTTCTAAACCCAGCCTACAGTGCAGTAGTACCTGCTCCAGGTGGGACAGGCCCCAGCCTTTCTGGCCTTAACTGCTGACCTGCAGAATGGGGGTTGGGGAGGCTATCCATCCCTGCTGGCTCATGTCCTTCCTCGGGGTCCAGATGGGAGAACTGGGAAGCTGCTTTACTCCACAGTGTAAGTGTTAGCGTGACAAATGACTCTGATAACCACATTCTGACCCTCCTAATGAAATATTTTCTTTCTCAGTGATGTTACAGCCTTTCGATTATGATCCCAATGAGAAAAGTAAACACAAGTTTATGGTTCAGTCTATGTTTGCTCCGCCTGACACTTCTGATATGGAGGCAGTAGTAAGTACGAACACTTCTTCTCTCCAGTCTGCTAAGGCAGCTGTGGCGGGTGCATGCCTTTTCACTGTTGATGGGGCCCTGTGCTGTGAGGAAGGTATGCACTCTGCCTTGTGTGCTTTCCCAACTTTGGGGAATAGCTGCAGCAGTTTACGGGGCTGTTCTTTTCTGACTTGATGAACTGACCAGTGCTCTGCTCTCGTGGACCCCTTCCTCCCTATCTCCTGTGCCACCGGAGAGTGTTCAGGATGCTTCTGTCCTGTGTCCAGCCCCTCAAGCCCAAGTGTTGCACACTAAGTGCCCCTCCTCCACACCGACACTGCCTTGTGTTGCTTTCCTTTTTCATCTGGTTCTGGTCAGCATGCTTCTTTTTCTGAGGCTCCAACTCGGGTCTTGTTCACACTACCCGGGTGCTCTGCAGCTGAGCTGCACCCCGAGCCTGCTTCTTTGTTCTTTAATTTCCTTCATTTCTATCTCTCCTCCCCGTGTGAGTACGTACATGTTTAGCAGTGCCCCTAATTTTAGTAAAATTAAGATGCCTTTGTTTTCATAAATAAGCAATGTTTTATAGCATTGTTTTTTCTGGAAGAAGAGAAATTAGAATGGCAATTTTCCCCAAAGGTGGTTCTTCGTGTATTTCAGTGAATCAACAAGGACCTGGGTGCTGCTTGTTGATGTGTCTGGCTGGCCCAGAGATATCACGTCAGCAGTTGTTTCTTTTTCTGAGCTGTATCCTGAGGATGTCTCCTACCCCAATGTCACCACTCAGTCTTTGTTTTGGAGCTTGGGAAAGCAAAACCAGCTGTTCAAATTGGCACCTACCTTGGGGGTAGAAAGGGAAGGTTAAGACAAGTATTGAGTTGGAGCAAGACCTTGTCATAAGACTGAAACATTTCTGTGCCCTTTCATTTCCTGACTTGTGTTGTGCTAGTCTATACAATGAAGGGAGCACATGACAGGCACAGAAGGTGGATCGTCCACAGGCCATGCCTTTGGTCTGGCTTCAGCTGTGGTGTAGTTGGAAGGATGGGGGCTTGGCTGTCCTGCTCTGAGGCACCTTCCTTTACTAGTGCTGTGGTCTGTCTCAAGTAGGCTTTGTTGATGCCTCTTGAAGTTTTGGCCACCTGTGGAGATAAAAACTCAGCCCACAGGGTTTTGAGGAGAGTTTGCCCACGTCCTACACGTCACCTGAGCAATTAGGAGCCTGGGTGCTGCAGGTTGATAAAGGGCTTTTTATTTCTCAGTGGGTTGTTTTTAATAGCTGTTTTAAGTGTTTGGGCAGCACATTCTGTAGGGTTCTGTGGACATGCCCACCTGAGTGAAAGCCGAGTTGGATGGAGGTGGTTGTTGGTTCTTCTGCACCAGACCCAACTGCTAGGAGAGCCAGTGTTGCTGTTGAGCTGACAGTGACAGGAAACAGCAGTGCCTGATTGCCTTTGCCTCAATGGACTCTGTGTGAACATTCTACCTGAGCTGTCATAGTCTTCCTTGTGCTAGCTGCCTACAGGAGGAAGGCTGCTGACTGTCCCCGAGCCCTGCAGAGCAAGGATACTCTTTTTTGATATCGGACTGTGTGCACTCACACAGTGAGCTAGTTATCAGCAGCCTAATGAGGATGAGTCCCATCCAGTGCACTGAGCACTTCAAGCACTGGCTATAAAGCCCCTCGGGATTTATAGCTTTAGGGTCCAAGTCAGTGGGCTTGGAGGCAAAGTCTGAAATCCCAGATCATCTGATTATTTCCTTATCATTAAATTTAGATTCAAATTTGAGGGTAAGAACAATCCATGCTTAGGTGATGTTACTGCCAGCTTTTCCTGCTCTTGGTTCAGCTCCATGAGTTGGCTCAGATGGTGTGGGAGCCTGTCTGCCCTGTGGTCTGCAGGCAGTTCTCTGAGACTGTTGAGTCCTACTCACCAGCACTCTGTCACCAGCATTGAGCACAGAGATGGTCCTTGCATGATCCTGTCTGACTCACATGTAGGCATATGATCATGGGCCTTTCACAGAACAACAGACATGTGTTGGTGTCTTTCTGTGTAGCTCAGTGTTCTCAGGTGTCCTGTTGGTGGAGTGCTGTCCCACTGACTGCTTGTGCTGTAGCTAGGCTAGCAATGCTCTGTGCTGGAAAAATTGATTGCCCCAGCTGTCATGCGTGCAGCCACAGGAGTGGCATGGCTCTCTGGTGGATGTGCCCATTGGTGGTTGACAGGGTAGGGTTGAATACTCACCCTTCAGCTCTCTAGGTAGTGTGTGCCCTGTCATGTAAACTACAGTGTCTTAAGGAGAGCTAGAGTTACCTTTAGAGGTGGGCAGCTCTTGTTGAGTTGTGCTCCCTGAGCCTGGGCTGCCTGTGAAGCAGCAATGGGTGAGTTTGGGCAGGCTCTAAGGAGCTAGGCAACAAGACTGCAGGGTTTGCAAAGTGTGATAAATATTCAGGAGAGCTAGTGCATTTAATCTTGTCATGTTAAAAATATTGAAATCTCAGCAGACTTAAGTTCTTTATTTGATATACATCAGGGCTTTCTCATTAAGAGTATTTTTCTGAAATTGTCAGTTATAGGAGGAGAATTATTCTTCCAGCAGCTTGATAATACCCTGATTATTAAATTTAAATTGTTTTAGTGGAAGGAGGCAAAACCGGAAGATCTTATGGATTCAAAACTTAGATGTGTGTTTGAATTGCCAGCAGAAAACGCTAAACCAGTAAGTATGTCTCTAGTTAACAGTAATCGAATGTTGCAAGCTGATACTTATTTGCATGCCATCTCCTGTGAAACCAAGATTTAAGTTGGCAAATTATTTTCCTCCCTCTAATGTACAAAGGAAAAAATAAGCTGAAGTCAACAGATACGCAGGCTTTATAAAGTCAACCTTGGAGAAGCAGCCAACGGAAACACTGTACCCCTGAGAAGTATAACCTGTTGGCTCCTGAGGTCATGAATCCCGGGGTGGCAAAGTAGGGAGACCAAAATGGAATAATTTATCCATTATTATGGTGCTAGGGCAGGTGGTGAACTCTTAAGAGAGTCCTTCCAGTGCCCCTTTCAGCATCTACTCCTCTTCCTTGCCGTTTCCCTGTGGACTCTGGGGCAGCTCTGTTTAAGGAGAGACTTTGTTGGCCTCAGTGCTGTTGTCATTTTGCTCTGGACCAGCTTTTGCTTTTCATCAGGAAGCAGCATCCTGTGCACTGTGGGGTGTCGAGCATGAGCCAGACCTCTGCTCTCTAGACACTAGCAGTACCTCGGGTTTTTCATGGAGGTTGCTGTGTGCCCCATTGGGAGCCATTCTTGTTCCTTGCTTCCCTGGCTGTCTCCTCTATCTCTGTGCTGACTTCACCTGAGTCCTTAATATGGACCAGTAGAATGAAGGACGTGACATCTCAAATACTTCCCTTCAAACTGGCCAGAAAAGTTAAAGTTGTGTTAAGTAAAAGCTGTGCATGATCTGCAAGGCCCCTGCCAGCGATGTTGGGAGCTGGGAAGGGGAAGCGTTCTGCGTGTTTCTTCACATGATCTAATGAGCGCCAAGAATGCTGTTGATTGGGGTCAGAACTGTGTCGTGTTTTCTTCTGCTCTGTAATCAGCTACTGCTGTCTTAGTTCTTTGCAGAAAAGTTAATTTTGAAGTAGGGAGGCATGGATCCCAACCCCAGGCCCATGATAAGTGGGCTCGGGACTGGGCTCTGCCTTCCAAGGCTCTCCCTGCTGTGGGGAGGTGAAGGGGGTAGAGCTTGATGCCTGCTTTTCAGATTGCTGCCCAGAACCTCAGGTGACCATCCTGAGTGCTTCTTAGTTCTGCTTCCACTGACTGGCCCATCCTCCAAGAGGGTCCAGGGGAACAGGAGGGTGTAACCTCTCCAACCAGATACTTGGCTCACTCAAAGCTTGTTTGGCCTTATCCCTCCTTGTAGGTGGCCCATGGGTAGCACTCATGGGATCTTCTACCTCCCCATCCCCACTCCACTCCCATCCTCACCCCCAGCGGCTTGGGATGCTCAGCTCTTCTGCAAAGGTAATTTGCAGCTGATAATTCCTGAGCTTGCACAATTGCAGTATGCTAATTTTTGCATGGCAGGAATTTGATAGTGCAATATGCACGGTCCTTTTTCTCCTCCTTGAAGTATTAGCCTCAGCCCAACTTCATTATTTGCCCTTATTCATAATTTCTAGGGCCCGGTAGCTTTAGATTATCAAGATATTAGATAAAGTGATCCATTTAAAAAATAAATGTGACATTTTACAGTGAGGAGGAAATGCTACCTCATGTATTCTGTGCTGAGAACTACTTTGCATAAAATCCTTTCTTACATAGTTGGTGACACTTGGGCTTTCATTTATTTCTGAACAGCATGATGTAGAAATAAATAAAATTATACCCACAAGTGCATCCAAGACAGAAGCACCAGCGGCCACTAAGTCCCTGACGTCGTCCCTTGATGACACCGAAGTGAAGAAAGTGATGGAGGAATGCAAGCGGTTGCAGGGAGAGGTGCAGAGGCTTCGGGAAGAGAGCAGGCAGCTCAAGGTAATTCCCTTGCTGGGCACACTGGCATCATAGGTGCGCAGTGGTAGTCCCAAGCCTACATGGTTTGGTTTATTTCTTTTCATTTGCTTACTTTCTCCTCCCTCCAGCATTCAAAAGATCTTTGGACTGTAGACAACTGCCAAACGGTTGTCTACCTAAGGAACCAAACCCATTCCTACCTCCATTGGTCTAGGTTGAGCTGGTTCTTTGAATATGCACTGTCAGACTGCACTGTGGTGCACCCCTGGGGCAATCTTAGTTGGAGGCCAAATCCTGCCCTACTGTTTTAACATGGGCAAATGAATTTTGAAGTCTAAGTAGGTCTGAGCAGTAGAAACTCCTCAGGCTGCTCTGAGGGTGGTGAGAGGAAGCCACGGCGCTGGCCCAGTTAAGGTGGTGGAGGTATGCAGGAGAAACCAAGGCTGCAGCTCAGGGGACCTGGCTGGGCTATGCAAGCTGCCCTGCGGAGGCTGGAGGCACCCTTGGTCTAGCAGCCCATGCTGCTGTCTACACAGTTTGTATGAGGTCTCATCTGTTCCAGGCCCATTTCTCAGGCCTGATTGCTGAGTATCTCTTGGCCTTACTTCTAGCTGCAGAACTGTGAATCTGTCTGACTCAGATGTGGATATACCTGAACATCTGAATATAGGAACTTTTGTTGCAGCTTAAATTTTGAGGCCTATTTGTTCTTAATCTTGATGACACCACCCAAGCATGTAATAGGTTTCCCCTCTTTACCTGCTGTGGCAGCAGATGTGCATAAGACACTCCCTTAAGCCGACTCCCTGCTTCAGCTCTGAGGTAGACATGGGAGGACAGCGGCTTAGGAGTGGCCTCAGCACCAGAAGCTTCTCTTTGAGTGCTTCTCCTCAGAAATAGAGTTCTGCACCATTTAAAGTGATCTATAGGTAGGGGTAGCTTCTATGTAAACTCAATAAAATAAATGCTGTGTTTTGCTGTGCCCATTTTTTTTTTAAGTTAATCGAACGCTGCAGCTCATTCATCACTGTACTGTGGTACTGGCCTTGCCCATGAGCAGAATATCTCTAAAATAATATCAGAGCCATGTTGATGTGCATGGGGCAGTGTATATGTGTGTGCGCAGCACACATACGCTTTTTCCTGCCAGACATTGGCTTCTTGTTTACTGAGATCTGTGTGCCAGGCGTTGTAGGCTCAGCTATGAGCATGCTGCCCTGGGGAGCTCCCCAGCCCATGTCCTTAGTGGGCCCGTGGAGAGCTGCAGATCATTGGGAGACTGAACTTGGCACTTGGCAGATAAGAAAGAAGCAGAGGAAAAGGATAGAGAGTGTCAGCAGTATGGGAGGCTTGAAGATGGGAGCCTCCTGGCACTGGCCCTGTGCAGCAGTGGAGCCTGGGAAACAGCATCGGAAGTACCTGCAGATCCCTCAGGCGTGGGGAGTAAAAGACAGACCCTTCATTCCTTACTGACCTTGGGAGCATGGTGGGTTGGTCCAGCTTCTGTGTGCCTGGAAGCAAGAAGCCAGGCCTTAGTTAGAAGAAGCTGTTTGTGGTGGACAAATAGGTTTTCTTCTTTATATGCCATGGCAGCAGTTGCACATAGTATGTGTTTAAATTCCAAGGAAGATTTGATTCAGCAGTCTACCTAGACCTCTTACCAAGCACCGGCCCTGCAGGCTATATAGGTCTCCACTGGATAGCTGGTTGTGATTTGTGTTGTGAGATTTCAGAGATGAGTTGACTGAACAAACTTGTGGGTTCAAGACAGGGCAGAAGTTAGACCTGGAAGTAGGCAGGGGTGAGGCCAAGACATGGCCAAAAAAACCTGGCCACTCCTGTGAAGAGATTTTTTTAGTTCACGAGGAGCTGAGGAATACTCTTCAGGTTGGGATTAGAGAGAGAGAGAGAGAGAGAGAGAGAGAGAGAGAGCGCAGCTCTGGCAGGAACACTGAGGCCAGGAGGGTCCTGGCAGTGCCTTCTTCTGTTGGCTTCCCCGTGCCTTTTTCAGTCTGGTTAATCATGTCTGCCAAGCCACGAGCTGCTTCTGAAATGTGTGCTTGTTCCCCTAGGAAGAAGACGGGCTTCGGGTGAGGAAGGCACTGCAGAGCAACAGCCCCATGGCAGCTCTGGCTGCCACTGGGAAGGAGGAAGGTCTCAGCGCCCGGCTGCTGGCTCTGGTGGTTTTGTTCTTTATCGTTGGTGTCATTATAGGGAAGATTGCCTTGTAGAGGCCGCATGCGAAGGATGGCAGATTGGATTGATGGATCTACCACATCATGGGATTTAAATTTATCATAACCATGCGTAAAAAGAAATTAATGTATGATGACATCTCACAGGTCTTGCCTTTAAATACCCCTCCCCATGCACACAAATGCACACACAAATATAGCATAATATAATGATCTTTTAGAAAGTTAAAAACGTATAGCAAATGGGTGGGGAAAGGATGGTCAATTACTGAAGGATGCCGTGATTAATCACAGTGGCATATTGTAGCTGTCACGTTAAACTCGGGTAGGCCTGGGCACATGTTGCTAGATCACGTCTCTTAAAGCAAGAAGCTCTTCCTCACGTGTTGGGGCTGGCCCATGGGAGTGCGAGTCCTGCGAGGTGGGGTCTTTTCTCACCCAGGTGGCCTCCCCAGGCCTGCTGTTCTGTCCAAGCATCAGCTCCTCAGACCTACAGAGCTACAGACGCCAAAATGCATTGCACAGTGGCCACAGCTTGTGTGCCTGTAGGTGGTGAGAGAGGCAGGAGTGGACGGACTGACCCAATACTTGGAAATCGACGTCTGTACTCTGTTCTCTTATAGGGACCAAGCTAAATTACCGTTGGCTCGTGTAGTGAAATTGAGCTGTCCATCAGAGATTGTAATGCGTATTTAACTTATTTAGTGTATTTCATCCCATGTGTTCCTACTGTCACCAGAGTACAGGCAGTGCCGCAGCCCGCACGTCCCTGTGCCACAGACCACAGTGAGGGACTGCTACGTGGGTGTGGTGGCTCCATGTCCCTGGAGGTCTGAGGGATGGGGAGGGCCTGAGTTTGAGACAGCTGCCAGGAAGCGTTCTGTTGCAGGTCTGTAGCCTTGTCCTGAGGACAGTCAGCTCTGTTATCCGGTCTTCTAGACTGTTCTTCTCTCCCATACCAGTCCCCCTTCCGGAACACAGGCCAGGTCTGACCTGCCCTTCTCAGGATGAATGAGTCAGGCTGCAGAGGACGAGGGCCAGGGAGGTCAGGGGGGAAAGCACCTCAGCAAATCCATCTGCTGGTGATGAAGAATCTTGACTGTGAATTAATTTCATGCCGTAAAAGACTGATCCAGTTCTGCTCAACTAAGTAGCATCGTAAAGGAAGAGATTAAAATAAAGCCCCAAATTAAGAGTCCTTTTGTCATTTTGTCACATTTGCTGTGTGTGGGATTATTATTATCAATCATCGTTAGTGTGCTATGGAAGGTTGATTTTAAAATGAACTCTATCGGTGGGAAACACACGTTTAATGATTTGACTCTACACACATCTGTGTATACACACATACATATATTACTATTGCTTTTATTATATTTTTGGTTGGCTTCAGCTAACAGCACAGAAAATAAAGCTGCTGCCATCTCAGGTTCGCTGTTCTTCCCCTTCTGTGACCTTGGCCCTTCAGTGGCAGGCCTGGGTCTGACAGGACAAGCCCATCTAAATGAAGAGACTGACCTGGACACCTTGAGCCACACTGCTGCGGTGCCTGACTAGCCAGCTGGAACCTTGAGCTGGGTGAGAGGGGCGTCTGGGCGGTAAGCAGCCCCAGGAGCTCTCAGGGAATGCTGAGCAGCCCTGGTTTCCTCCCCAAGTCAGTTTCTGGATCCTTCCATGTACCTGAGAAAGGGAGGGTAAAGACTGAGCCGAGAGTGCTGACCTTCTGCCACCTGGCTTTCCATAGTGGCCTGAGATTTGGCAGTCACAAATGCTGCCAGTAATCCTGCTGCAGCTTCTTTTGGCCCCTCCATGCTTTGAGAGTGGAGTGATTCAGGACCTCCATCAGGACCTGGGGTATCATCTAGCTGACACCAGAGCCAGGGTCTGCAAGTGTGAAGGGATGTCTGTGTACCAGGACAACTCGAGAAGCAGAGTCAGTAGTGGAGTAGTGTGTCCAGGAGCTGCCCGGCTTGGGCCATGGAAGGTGGCTGTGTGCTTGCTGTGAGAATGCACTCGGCGGGCCAGGGTTGCAGGCGCTTCTGCCCTAGGGGCAACAACACCACCCTTCCAGATAGAAAGATATCCTTCCTTTGTTCGGTCCTCGGAAGCCCTTCCTCAGAGAGATGACTGGCCGAGAGTGGTGGTTTGTGGGGCCTCCTAACCGAGGGGAGGGTGGAAGGTGTAGGTTAGCAAGGCAGACTGGGTAACTGTCCGAGTCACCCTGGCCAGTAAAGAATGTGCGGGCAGAGAGGTGTTGGCAGGAAGAAAACTTACATGTGGGCTCTGAAGAGAGCTGTGCATATTTGGGGTGTCTTCTCTGAAAATTTCAGAGGAAAAAAAAAAAAAAAAACATGAGTAAGGCAAAGAGGAGGTGAGTATGGCTCTCTGTCCCAGAAGTCTGCTGTCTCCAGAGAGGACAGAGTCAGATGTTCTGGGAGGTGTAAAGCTGAGATTTGGTATGATGGTAGCCATGAGGCAGCCTGGGCAAGTCCTCCATGATTGCGGGGCCTCCTGCCCCTCCTCACTGGGTATCCTGGCTTTGGAAGCACCAGCTACAGCATTCACAGATGAACACAGTGGCAGAGTCCCATCAACTGCTATTGATTGGATTTCTAAGTTGATAATTTAAGCTTGGAAAGATACAGAGCACCTCTTAAAGACAGCAGGCGCTATTATCTGTCGGTGTGAAGCCCTGGCTTTAATTTTTTTCTCCTCCTAGTTTGCATGTTTTCCCTCTCTGGTCTTTTAAACTGCTGGCACCAGCAGTAATAAATACTGATAAAATCAAAATTGATTTTTACCAGTGGACAGTTTATGCCTAGAGAGACAGCTTATACCTACATAACACAGAAGGGGGAATGAAGAACCTCCAGTGAGCCGTGAAAACCTAACTGCTTTCAAACAAATCCTAGGAACAGCATTGCTGTGTGAAGATAGCAGTGCCCAGCCTGCGGCTGGCTGTGTTGAGTCAGACAGAACTGGATGCAGCGAGAGTTCAGAGCTAAATAGCCCTTCAGATTAATTTGAAAACAAGCCCTGTGTGTGCACATGTGTGTTTGTGTGTAGCATATGCGCTGTGTGTAATAGCTTGACAGTTCCCAAATGGTGCCTGTATTTTTTTTTTTCACACAGATCTTGGTGTTTTCAAACTCAAGAGTGCATGCCAAAATGCAGTGTCATTTGTCATTTTCAGCTCCTCAAAATTAACTGGCCCAAGTGCAAATTTCTAGTTACGGTTTGCAAAATCCTTCTTCTAAGGGAGAGATGGAGACACAGGAGAGTTGGTCCCATGATTTAGGTCATCTGTATACCTGGGTGACATTCTCCAGGATAGAGGCCCACATTTCCCTTGCTTATAGGGGTAGTCATGTGTCCTACTGGCTGTCTACTGGGACGGAGGGGACAAGTAAAACTTTGCAAGTAACCAGAAGGCACCAGACTCATCCTAATTACACTTGGCCGTGTTTGCTGTTACTGAGAATGAATGCTTTTCAAAGCCAAGCAGAAATGTAATTGTGTTTAAAAGTGCCCTGCAAAGCGTAGATGGATGGGTGCTGTTTGCAGCATAGGGAGGCCCTGCCATCGCTCTCTGGGATCATGGCCCACTGGCTCCCTCAGGGATTCCCTGGCCTGATTGGACATAGAGGTCTTTTCCCTCCTCAAACAAGAGCTCCTATCATGGGAACAGTTGTCAGTGCCATCCTGGCTTCAGAGCACCTCCACGAAACCTCACACTGGGCTCTGCCCTGTACATAGGGAGACGAAAGCTTCAATGCATTAAGTGGGCAACCTATTAGTCTTGAGCTCAGTCGGCCCCAGCTTGTGCTGACATTCTAAAGCGCTGCTTGCTTGAGATCTGTGGATCAATGGAGGGAACAAGGTGGAGGGAGGTATTTGCTGCCCAGCAAGTCAGCTCATATGCGTTGTCATGTCTGCCTCCCCGACCCAGCCGGTGTTTCCAGGCTGAGCAGGAAGAACCAGGACTCTGGTGTGGTCTGAACACATCCCACATGATGAATACATGTGGCTGTTTCCATTACTCTCACTGCCCCTGTGCCTGGGGAATTATGGGGCTTTAGAAAGAAAATTACCACTGTGTCTCAGTGAGGGGAGGCCGCTCTGTCTGGAGGCTCCTCATAACTTGTAAATTAAATGTGAATGAGAGAAGTTCATTAAAATTGGCATTATAGAAGTGGCCTGTTGAGGTTTGAAAGCAGCTGAGCTCATGGTGTTGGGGCTCTCTCTGAACCTGTGGAGAAATACATGAGCAAGTGACAGACGACTGACACAGGAGCCTCGGGTGCAGACAGCTTGGGCGCTCTGAGTGCATTGCCCCCTGGCTCCTGGTCCTCCCATGGTCACTGCTTGCTCAACATGTGAGGCTCAGCCACTAAGAGTACCTGCTACTTGGGATGCACAAGGGAACCAGGCCCCGAGGGAAGGGGACTAGAGCCATTGACATAGCACTGTTTGCAGTTTTCACCCCAGTTCGTTTATTCCCATCACAGAGGCATGTGTAAAAATTTCAAAGGCACAGCACACACGAACATCTGTGTATTGTGTTTAAGAGAGATATGGGAAGGTGGAGGAAGGGTGGTTTTGATGAATATAATAATTACCTTAGGTTTTTTTTCTCCCTTAATGGGATTAATTTATTAGAATATGTGTGCATCTGCTCTGCAGAAGAGGAAGGAAAACTAGCAACAAAAACATAGCTATTATCCAACTTGCCACAAACATTTGCAGTTCTGATACCTTGGAGTGTCGCCACAGTGTGGGTCACACTGAGGAAAAGATGCCGTTGGGAAGAAGGGTGGCTGTGGGCACTGCCACCGTGTAAATGCTGACGATTATTTTGAACCAGAAAGCACTGATCTGTAACAATGCAATGCGGTTGTTGTATTGCAGCGAGGGGCTGATGCAGGTTTAATCATCTCCCTAATGGATGTGGGTGCAGGGTGGATGCTCTGCCCTGCTTTCCAGCCTGCATCCTGATGAGCCTCAGTAGCCGGCAGGGCCACTGCATGGTAGAGCTGCAACCGCAGCTCTGTTTCCCTGATGCTTAAAAGCCATGTCCGGCCGAAATAAAACAGATTACCTGTTACTTTCTGTCTCCCTTCAGAAGACACCAACTATGGGAGACAAATCAGATCTTTTAACACAGTCTCATTAAGGCTCCGTGCTAACAAGAGCACAGAGCTTACATGACTTACGGAGATGATGAATTAGCATGCGCGCACCACACATCGACTTACCAGCTCTCCCTGTAACACATAAAGGCCTCCATCTTTTTTATGGACAGGCTGCCTGCGTTCCCATCTCTTTGCTTTTTAGAAGTAAGCTAAATTCAGCTGCTAGGTCTCTTGTGCAGCATTTATTAAAAAAAAAAAGAAAAAGAAAAAAGCCTTTTCTCATTGAGCCTCTTACATGGCTTCAAAGGTCAGAATTTATTGTCTGTGATAGTGAAACCATGTGTACGAAACTGCCTTCTGCTCATGATCCATGCAGCAGCCGTTCCTAAAGCACTTTCCTTATTTTCTGCGCTAGATGAGGCGCCAAGAAACTAGTCAGCAGGAGGCATTTGGCGTTAGTGTGTTTCGCTGGTAAGCGGCCTAAGATCTGTGCTCTTATGTAGAAAAATGGAAAATGCATCGGGCCTCGTTTTTGTGCTGGCATTTCTTCTGTTGTTGTTCTGTTTTATTTTTTTTTGTTTTTTTGTTTTTTTTTTTTTTTTAATATATGAAATGCTGGCATTTGGAACTTGCTATAATAAACACTAGATAATCTTCCCATCACCGCCCCCTCCCCGTCTAAGGAGAAAAACAGCCTCAGTAATGCATGCCGTTCCCATCCGGCTTCACATACTTTCTCATCTCAAAGATCTGCAGCCTGTGACTGTGTGTGTTCATTCTGGCCTCAATATACGTCAACATTTTGGGGACTGAGTATCTTAAGAGATGTTTTAGAATGCTGCTATTTTCATAATCTCTCCTTTATGCATTTAAGCTGTATTTTCTGTTCATTCACAAAAATCAGAGCGGGAAAGGACTCTTCACCGTCATGTGCTTCCGTTATCTGATGTGTGATAAATCCATGGTTTTATGGCTGACTTTACATTTCCCAGAGGGAAGGAGACAGATTTCTACAGTGTCCAGACCAAAAGAGCCATTCACCAAGCGTTTTGTGTGTCGGTCTGAT